CCATCGCGATAAGTTATGCTCGATAATTCGTAGATATTACAAAAAAGATAGAAAGATTGTGACATTTCTATTTATAGTTGCCGAAATGAAAATTTTACCGTACCGAATAGCAATACACAAGCGTTTATCTGCTCAGGCCGAAGACGGAGGGTCGAGGAAAAAGTTCGGTAAACGCTTTGATCGACGTTGAAATTCAAATCTTTGAGCGACGCGGCGGCAGGGTTCGCTGGCGCGGCACGAGCGTTTGAACTTGGTGGATGTGCGCGCGCCGATGACGACATGCGCGGGGAGCGCGACTCGCGAGACGCGAGGAAAGGCCGTCGCGGTCGCGCGGCACGGCGGCGGTGGCGGCAGGCGGCACGGCGGCGGGCGCCGGCAGTCAGTGCATGACGGCCCGAGGTTTGTATCGATATCGTATCTCCGCGCACGGTCCGCTCGCTCTCGCGTGAGGGAAAGGGGAGAAAGGGAGATAGAGACGGTTCCCGGGGGCCGCGCGACTCCGCGACGATATTACGAATTACGACGCGAGCGGATCGTTGTGGTTCGTCGTGACTCGTGGCCGTGTCGTCCCCGCGCGCCCCGAAAATTCGCGCCGTTTCGCGGAAGAAGGAACGCACGGGACGCGGGACGCGCAGTGGCCGTGACGGAGAGGTGTGTGACGGAGGTATCGCCGAATTTACGACGCCAGACGGATTCGGCGGAGCTACATCCGGCAGGAGCGTGAGGCAGGAGAGAGGGAGGAGAGGAAGAGAGGACGAGAGGACGCGGGAGCACGCGACGAGTCATCCCGGTGAGTAACGTGTGGACCTTCGAATTCATCTCTGTACGCACTCGGCTCGCGCGAGAGGTTCACGAGGCGGCTGACCTTAGGATGTCGATGTCGATGTCGCTCTCGCTCTCGCTCTCGCGCGGCCTCGTGAACTTTTTGCAAATCGCGAAAAGCGCAGCTCCGCATGCTTGCGAAAGGAGCAAGTCGATCGATGAACGATTACGCTCGAGCGTATTATACATATTTCATTCTTTTATGCGAATAATTAATTACTCCGTTTGAACAGAATTATTAAATTTAATGTGAAGAATAAAAAGTACTTTCGTCTTAAAATAGAAAATATCCTTATGTAAATTAATGATAATTTTTTCCAAATTTTTACTCTATCAAAGAGAAGGGTATGATTTTCATATATCGAGACAATCAGATTGAATTGTCGCAAGAAATATAGCAACTTAATCTTGTTTTTAATTGATTAAAGTTTTAAAGTAAATAAAATAATTATATACATTAATTTTCATAAGTATATTTCTCAAATCCAATTTCACATAATTTTCAATTAAACATTAGCATTACGTCTGTCATATATAAAAAAGATTAAATTTTAAACAGGCGCGTATCGCTGCCTAATATTAATTAATGTGAAGTACAAAAAAATTATTGCCCAGAAAATTATCATTTAAAATACAAATATAAATAATATATTATATAACTAAA